CAAGAACCAGTCCTATAAGGCCTAGGCCTAGACCCATACTGGCCTAAAGGAGGAAAGATCGATCCTTTGGTTGGTCCCTCCTTCAAGGCCCAGGCCTGGGACCAATCCCAAGCCTGGGCCCAAACCCTTCTACCTTTTTTCAAAAACCCCCTGGCAACTATAAAAAAACCCCAGATTTTTAAAATAAAATAAAATAATAAGAGCTAAAATGATATTCTACAAAAGAAATTTTTGATTTGACTGTTGGCTGTTCAACGTCAGTTGACCGTTGGTCAGCAGTCAATTTACCATTGAGCCAATGGTCAATTGACCGTCGAGCGGCCAACGGTCATGATGGGGGAAAAGTTTTTTTTTTTTTTTTTACACTTTCCCCCCAGACTCAAGTATAGATAAGGCCCCAAACCTCCATTTTCTTCACAACTCAACTCTCAATCTCTCAAATCTCAATCTCAATCTCTTTACTCCAATTCTCAAATTCTCTTCAATTCAATTTATATTTATTTATTCATATTATTCAATTTTTTTCTATATTTCAATTTCTTTTATTTTAATTATTTTTTATTTTATTATAAATTCATAATGATTCTCGAAATTATGCATTTAGAGGATCATCCCCAAATGAGTTTTACATTCCATTCATAGAAGAAATGGAAGGGTTTGATCCATTTTCAACATTTCCAGAGGCAGCAAGTCCTTAACCTGAAACGCTTGGGACTACGTGCAACCAAACACAAGCGAACTGCGACACCACGGACTCGACAAGACCGTCAAAGAGGGTCAAGTCTGGGGTATGACAATACTTCACCAGATCAAAACGGGCAAAGCCAAATGAGAAAGGGGAGAAATTGTGTGGGGTATGTAATTTTTGTGCAACTATTATCGATGCTGAGCACAAGACTTCGATGATGTGGAGGCACTTAAAGAAGAAGCACCCCTAACTCTCAACTTCAACAGCACCAAGTAGGCAAATTTAAACTCAAGTTAATTTTAATCCATAATCCCCAACTCTCTCAGCTTAACAATACAATGCACTCAAAACATATGAGTTAATGGAAAGATATGTAGTTGTTACATACTCTTCTCTTTCTTTATCTGAAAATCCATTTTTTGTTGAATTAATTAAAAATGCTTTTTGTCCACGCTTGTTTTTAACTAGGCTTTTGTTTGAAAAACATAGTAGCACGACTCAACTATGTGTGTGGGAGCATGACTTAACCATTAAGTAATGAACATAGGAGCAAGGTTACATTATGTTTGTGAGAGCACGACTTAGTCACTAAGTAGGAATACATGAACATGACTCAACTCTTTGTGTGGGAGCATGAATCAATTACTAAGTAATAAATATAGTTTAATCTATAGATGAAAAATGTAGGAGCACAACTTAACTATATGTATATTGTTAAGAGATCGCGTAGCGAAAAACATAAATTCGAGATTAATAACATAGGAATAAAATCACATCACATAAAAAGACACGATATTTACATAGTTCAGCATAACCCGCCTACATCCACGAATGAGAGAAATGCAGTATGGTTTCATGAACACGATATAAAAGAGTACACAACACCAAAAATTTGATATAAAATTAATAGATCATAGTTTTTAACCACACTTAACCCAATACCTAGAGCGGAAACAATCTTAGATTCTAAGACACTCTATCCATGTTGTTTAATAACCCTTACATCAAATACCTTGTGTTCTTTTACATCAAATACTTTGTGTTCTTACATTCTCTCATAACCAATCTTGAATTGGTTCTCACCCCTATATTTATAGGTAGCAGATGAGACATTATATTTTTTATATGATTTATATTTCAATTCTCAGTAGGACTCCATATTTTTATTCATATTTACAATTGTATTATTTATTAAATAATATTCCTATTTACATACAATTTTATATGGGAACAAATAGGAAAGCGGGTCACAATATCCCAACATATGGGAGCACGACTCAACCACTAAGTAATGAACATAAAAGCACGATTCAATTATGTTTGTGAGAGCATGACTCAATTACTAAGTAAGAATATAGAGCACGACTCAATTATTTATGTGGGAGCACAATTAAACTTCTAGGAAATAAATATAGTTCAATCTTTAGATGAAAAACTTATGACTCAACTATGTGTGTGGGAGTGCGACTCAACCACTAAGTAATGAACATAGGAGCACGATTTAATTATGTTTGTGATAGGACGACTCAATCGCTAAGTAAGAATTATGATATGGGGGTTTTAAAATATTCATTACTATAACATGGGAAAAAAAAATCTACAAGAAGTGTTGTTATTATATCACTTAAACAGGAATAATAGACATTTTTTTTGAGAGGATAAAACATGGGTCATAAGAAAAAAAATGGGGTTAAGGGGGGGCATTTTGGAAACCATTGAGGTTGCGTTTGGACCGGGAGCTTGTAAGATAACGGGGGTAATCTTCGTTTATTTCACGGGATTCTGGTGTTTGGTTTGCGAGTAATAAAATATTACTAGAATCTTTTATTCAAATAGTGTTTATTGTTGGTAATATTGGGGGTAATCTTATTTTTTTTACCTATTTTGCCCTTAATTAAATATCATTTCGGACACAATTGCCCTCAACTATCTACCAAATAACAAATTACCTAACCCCCCATACCTTTGAGAAATTAGTTAAAACACCCCAGCCACAAAAAAGTTTAAAGTTAACAAAATACTCCAACCACCCAAGACCACTGCCGGCCATTACTCACCACCGTCAGCAGCTAGCGTCAGTCATCGTAATGGTGCACGACCGGCAGGATCTGGCCGGTCGTGAGTCGGCAAGGCTTTTTCTATTGGAAATTGCTAGATCTTGCATTTCTATGGCCGCTTTATAGCCAAATATGTGGCTGTGAAATAGCCTGAGATCTAGTGGTGAAAAGGTCAAATCTTTGACCGTGAAACAGCACCGCCAAAGATTTGGCATTTTCACGGTTTTGGTTGTGAAATGACCATAGATTTGGCTTTGAAACGACCGTAAATTTGTGATCCATGGCTAGAATGGCTTTGCCGGCGCACGGCCGATCATATATGGCCAATCGTGAGCCATTCTGTCAATTGTCGGCGGTGGTGGCTAGTTGCTGATAATGGCTTGGGGTGGGTGGGGGTGATTTTGCTATAAATTAAAGTTTTATATGGCTAGGGTGTTTTAGCAAAATTTCAAATGTAGGAGGTTAAAAGAACGGTTCAAAAAATAATAATAAAAAATACTATTATATTAATATTTAAAAATGAGGACAATTTAGTAATATAAATAACATACTTACCTAATTTATCCTTCCAACCAAAAATATTATTCACCAATTTATTCGAACTAATTAAACATATTTTCTAAACATTCTTAGGGGGTGTTTGTCTAAGCTTATAAGCTGGTCAAACTAGCTTATAAGCTCTAAAATTAAGCCGACATGTTTGTTTATAACTTTTTTGAGCTTATAAATTGAGCTTATAAGCAAAATAAATAAATAAGTTGGGGGGGAGGTGCTTTTTTCTTTTTCTTTTTTGCTTATAAGCACTCTGCTTATAAGTTAGTTTGACCAAGTATATTACCACATTATCCTTGTTTAATTTTAAAATTCCATAGTATACCCTTGTTTAATATAGTACATTTTTTAGTCATTTTATAATAAAATGTACTTATAAGCCACATTTTATCAAATACGTCAACTACTTATCAGTTACTTATAAGTACTTTAACCAAACACGTAATTGCTTAAAATTTCAAATACTTATAAGTCAAAATTAGCTTATAAGCATTTGTTTCTTATAAGCTAATTTTTATAAGTTCAGACAAACACCCCCTTAATAATCTTCAAGGTGATCTATCTTTCCATTAATATAATATCTCTTATAATAAAACATTATATGATCCAAACAGTTAGAGAGTTAATGGCTCTGTTTGGTTCACTTTTTTACACTTTTTAGAAAAGTTTTTGGAAAAAGTTAAAAAAAGTTGAAGTGGGCGGATATTACGATGTAGGATTTGGAAATAAATAAAAATACCTCTTATGTTTGTTTATTTACTAAACACTCCTATAATAAAACATTAAAAGTTAACAAAAACACCCCAACCCACCCATTAAATATGGATAGTCAGCCACCACCGCCGGAGGGTGGCCGGAGTCGTCGTATCGGCGCATGACCTGCTGGATCTTGCCGGTCGTGCTCCGATATGGCATTTTCCGGACAGATCTATGTTTGTTTATTTACTAAACACCCCTATAATAAAACATTAAAAGTTAACAAAAACACCCCCAACCCACCCATTAAATATGGACAGCCGGCCACCAGCGTAAGAGGGTGGCCGGAGTCATCGTATTAGCGCATGATAGGCTGGATTTTACCGGTCGTGCGCCGATATGGCCTTTTCCGGTCATATCCATCGTAGATTTGGCCGACAAATGCCAGATCTATGGCTAGATCTGGCCATTGACTGCCAGATCTGGCCGTATTTTCTCGTCAATGACGGCCAAAGATACGGCCGTCATTGATGGTCAATGACGCCCATGTGTTGGCCATCGTTGACGATTGAATACGGCCAAAGATCTGGTCAACGGCCAGATCCATCGTGGATCTGGCCGGAATAGGCTAGATCGACGCATTACCGGCCAGATTCAACCGATAGTGCACCATTATACCAGATTCCGACTATTTTCCGGCGGTGGTAGCCGAAATCAGGTAAACATGGGTTGTTGGGGTTTTTTTGCAATTTTTAAAAAAAAATTAGGGGTATTTAATTAAATTAATAAATTTAAAGAGTTTAAAAAAGTTGAATAATATTGAATAATTTTGTGAGTTTTTGCAATTTTACTGTTTAACTTTATTAGAGATACTAATAGTAGTATTCTCGAAAGGGAACCAAACAAAGCCAATATCATTCAGTAAAACACCAGGTTTGACAAAAATACCCTTGTAATAATAAAGCGTGCACCGTACACAATGTTCAAACCCACAAGCTCAATGCTCACCAAACAAAACCCCTAAAACCCCTAAAACCCCAAGCCCCCAATCCCAACTCTCTCTCTTAGCATGTTCAATCTCCGGGAAAGACCAACTCACTTCACTTCCTTCGTCTTATTCTAATCATCCTCATAACCAAAACATGAACGAAGAGGATACCGGACCGCCCAACAAGGAACTTTACGCACTTTTGCACCTCTCACCGGAGGCTTCCGATGAAGAAATCAGAAAAGCTTATCGCCAGTGGGCCCAAGTCTACCACCCTGATAAATACCAAGCTCCTCATGTATGCTTTCTTCTTTATATATTCTGTTTATTTTTAATTTTTTATTATATTTAAACTTATCAATTTGCGTGATTCAATTTCGGTGCCGTTTTAGTGTGAACTCACAACTCAGTCGAACTTGTATTCACTATGTGTTTTTTGTATTGAAATTTGTTTGAGTTTTGATACATTGTGTTTTTAGAGGTACAAATATGTTGAAATTTGAGTTTTGCTTTGAATTTATTGTATTGGTAATAAGATATTGAGAGTTGTTTAATATATGTAAATAACGATGCATAAACACCATTTAGTTAATTATTTTCAGTCAGAGCATGCTCATATAAAGTTTGTGCCAGGTTTTAATCGTGATTAAATCTTATTTATTTATTTTTCAAATCTCATTGTCAGATGAAAGAAATTGCTACGGAGAACTTTCAGCGCATATGTGAAGCATATGAAATATTATCAGATGAGACTAAAAGGCAAATATATGACATATATGGTATGGAAGGGCTGACTTCTGGTTTGGAACTTGGTCCAAAGCTCAATAAAGTCGAGGAGTTAAAGGAAGAGCTTGAACGGCTAAGGCGGATGAAGGAACAAGAGAAGAAGTTAGCACATTTTCGGCCTTCTGGGACAATACTGGCCAACTTATCTTTGCCACAGTTTCTAGATGGTGATGGCATAATGAGAGGGTGCTGGTCCTTGTTTCGCTTCACCTGATTGATTTTTTTCCTAAATGGTTGATGTGCTAATGATTTGGATTTGTTTTGAAGTCTGGAAAAATTTCAACCTGGATTAGATAGAATTTTTGTACATATACACATATATGTGGTGTCTTTGCTTTCCTATAAATTGTCCAACATCTGTACCTAATAACTTTATTTTGTTAATGAGTGATCATTGTTGGGTTTTACATACCCGTGGTATTCACTATTCTCTTTATATATGTAGTTCATATGGTCTTCTTTGTCTCTTCATTACTTCCAAATTCTTTTTCTTTTTACTTTTTTATCACCTTCCAATTGATATTGCTTTGATCATTTATTTCTAAATAAAGATAATCACTGACGTTCCATGTGTTTTATGTCTCTAGTTATTTGTGTCTTAATGTCTAATTTATCTGGCTACTCATTGTTTATCTACTCAAATTTCAGAATGGCTATGAGTAGCGAAGTTCATTCTCAATTATCAAAAAGCAATACTATTGCATTTGGTGGAAATTTGGAAGTGAATGAAAATTCTGGTGGCGGAGCTGCTTCACTTGTCCTTAGGCATCAGATGTCTTCTGTTTCATCAATAGAATTTTTAGCTTCAGCTGGTTTACGGGGCCTTATAGGATTGCAGACAACACGGTAGGGCATTTTGTTTTCATAAGGAAGTTTGGAATATTTGGCACGTATACTGGGTTCACTCTATATCATTCTCTCATTTTCCAGTAACCTGTCACAACACTCAACTGCAACAATGGCTATTGCAATGTCTTTGAGAGATGGCTCGATCAATCTTTCTAATAACTGGACCCGCCAACTCTCTGAAACGACGAGTGGAAATGTATGCCGCTGTTTGATTTATTTGGGTTGTTTATTTATTTGTTAATTTTTTGTCTTTGGTCATACAAAATATTTTGCATGGCTAATTTTGAGCAATGACAGCATGAAGAAAGTGGTATATAGTTTTGATGTTCCTTGGATCCCAAAGTTTGCATGTCTAAGATGTATTTAGTTGTCATATTGTTGTTGTTTGTGATAATTCGAAATTAGTAATGAATCAGTGCAAGGTTGAAATACTTGGCATTTTATTCGGATGGAGAAGTATGACATCTTTAGTCTTTGATTTGTATCTGATTTTTGGGTTGCTAATAATCTTTTAATTGATTCTTGTTTTTCATGTTCTTTTTTTCCAGATTCAGCTTTTGTTAGGTGTCGAGTCAGCCATTTCTGTTGGATGGGAAAAGAAAGATGAGAGGATGTCTGCTATTGGAGAGATTAAGGTAAGTTTATTTTTTCTATTCATTGCCCAGAAATGGTTACACAGATGCACTTATCTTCTTTGGACTTCTTTAGAAATGTCTTTGATTTTTTCTTTATTTTCATTTTTTGTTGTGTCATTCTTATTCATGTTCTGACACTGAAGGTTGGCACAAATTCCTTTGGGGCATCAGCTCATTATACTCGTCGCTTTTCCAAAAAGTCTCATGGCCGTATAGCAGGCAGATTTGGAAGGTATATTATCAAAATCTGTGTGGACAATATTTTGTGAGGGTTTAACTTTTGACGGACCGTGACATGACCCGCGTCAAATGATTCATGAGCCCGATGGGTCCGATCCAAGTCATTGAAGATTCGCTGCTGAGCGTCCGTCATGGCTTTTCAAGTTGTAAATCGGTCCGATGCGAGTCATTAAAGTCTCTGCATGACCCTAAGGCCTACTCTCCTAAAATATGCATAATTTCTTAATGTCTACTATTATCACAATTATTTCAGTTTTATAAATATGGAAAATGTTTTTAAATTAACACTAATCCAGGGGTTATTTGATTTTGGTTCTCTTGACAACACTTAATAATTTAAATGTTTTAAGACATGAAACTTGTTTGCTTTTTAAATTGATCAAATATTGATAAAGAAAAAGCTTTCTGATGAGCTTCTTATAATAATATTGATATCAAAGCGATTGTCTTAAAATGATATACTATATTGTCTCTTAAATGATTAATAATGTTAAAGGATTTTACAATTGCATCCTTGATGGATTGCGAGATATGAAAACTCTCCAAGCTAATCAAACTTGATCACAGTTTTGTGCGTTAGACAGAACTCGAAATATTACTAAAGTGAGAAAAGCCATCCAAACAGTGTGGTCGATGTTATTCTTCTGGAGAATGTAATTTGTATTGCGAAGATCATAATCAGTGTCTAGATCCATCCATTAGACTTCTAGCTAGATTATTGGCTCTGACTGGAGGTACAATAGTAGTTTCCGTACTCTAAAATTGCTCGAATTACTTAATTGGCGTGGCAAGGTGAAGAAGAAAATCATGTCATCACAATGGATGTAATTAACAGATGGCAATATATATATATATGGTAGCTGATTAGATCATAGCTTCTCTCATGCTTACCTACATCTGATCAAAACAGAAACAATTCAAGTAACCTTGGAATAGAGGTAAGATGATATGGTTTTAAATTGGAGATCTTATACCTGTTCCAATAATAGAGTGAAAACAAAGCTCTTTTTATGACTAAACAATTAATAATCATCTAGCGGTTCAAAAATAGATAATAACAACTTCCTGAATATGGGATTAAAGTACTGTAAGGAAAAATGAACTAACAACTTGCAACTTAATTGCATTCCTTTAATTAAGTGACCTGACTTCCATAGTAGCACAGATACCTTTCTATGTAAGATACCGCTTCCTCTTAGTGTCACCAAGCATAAGCATCGCCATCGCCATCGCCGTAGAATGTTTCCTTGCATCTTTCTGCTGAGAAAATTATAATCACTTGCAAATTTAGCGCAGGAGATGTATAGCTGATCAGTGGCGGATCCAATTGATGACTTGTGGGGACTAGAGTCCCCATCAACTTTTGAAAAAAAGTCCTATCTATATTTATTTAAATTTTACACTATAGAATTATGAGATTTTGGGAACAGTCCCCACGGTTCATTTAGATTTTTATTTTTGTAAAACCTATTTTTAATCCGAGTATATATATTTCATATTTTTTGTGATTTTTATTTTTATGCAAGAGGATCTGTTAGTTTTTTAAAATTTTATTAGAGTGAAATGAAAGGAATAAGAACTATTGGGTTTGCATTTAACTGATGGGAGATTATCGGGCATTTTTACATCAGAAAGCAATGTAGCGAGGTCATGGTGAGAATAAGAGATCTGGGCAGTTTCATAATTCAAAGAAGTTTTTTTATATAAATTGGTTGTTTGTCAAAATGAAAAAAAGAAAAAGTCCATAAAGAAAGAAAGAAAGAAGAGCAAAGGAAAATTCTGCACCTTAAGTTGATAGTAACTTGAAACCAGATTGGATTATGTTATTGACATACGTTCTTGTGATAAATTTGCTGAGTTACAAGGATTGGTGATTTGGTTAAGAATTTAGTTCGGTTTAAAAAAGAAATTTGGCATACGTTAGTGTATAAGCTTGGTGAAATTGCATTAGTTTTATCAGTTGTGACTACGATGTTGAAAAAGTTTTTCTACAATGAATCTTGTAAAAATCGTTATGCAATCGAATGGGAGATCAATGATGAATGATTGCTGTGGTATCTATATTGAGAAAATGTATTTGAATACAATTGATAATAGAGATTATCCAACGTTTTCAGAATAAGAAAACTAGTCAAGGACAATTTAGAAAATTGTTCTACTTTTAAAAAATTATTTTTTAAAGATATTTTATTTAATATTTTACTTTTTATTGAAGCTCATTGAAAAAAAAAAATTTAGTTATGATTGTTTTAATTTTTTTTTTTTTTATACTTTGCCCAATTGAGGGAAATCCTAGATGAGCATGATCGCCTCAATCATAAGAGAACATGAAAACATTTATACCAGCGCTGGAATACTGGGAGAGGGCAAAGATCTTTTTTGTGCTCACCGTAAAAACAAAAACTTAGATGCAGGTGACGGTATTCCATTTCCACTTACGTATTAATGGTTAACACTCCGAAAATTATACACGTACTGAGGTTCCTGTGTACATATTTCCTAGCTTGAACGAAACGAAAGTAAAGTACTCTCTTAGTACCCAACTTTTTTCTTTTGCTGTTCTGATAATATCAGTTAGTATTCTAAAGTTGACCAAAGTTTCCTGCTGAAGCAGGATCTGATGCCCAGAGATTTTCAGTTATTTATTATATATATATATATATTATATATTCTCTTTTCACACACACACATCAAAAAAAAAATCCAGACATTGACCAATACGCTTGAAGCTAGTTGTATACATGGGCTAAAAAGTAGAGAAAAAGTAAATTGCACACTACATAAATGCCACGATTTGTCTTCTCCCAGGTGATATAATAATCCTACCTAACAAGCAAGTGGTTACAGTGATATGACGCTGAGGGTGTGAAAGTGATTCTCATCAGACTGAGGGGCGATGAGCGCTGGCTTGCGTTAACCTCTGGCAAACTAACCGGATAGCCCGTTCCATCTGGTGCCAAGAGGTGGTTGATCAGTATCAATGCTTGACCCAGTTTGAAATAGAAAAAGCCTACATGCATAGAGCATACTCAACGTAATTATACGAAATGGCTTCAAATTGAAGACAACTTCACACAATGGCCATATCAAGCTCGTGAGGATTGGGTTTTACTACTGGGGGCTGAAGCTGATAGCAGGTTGAGTTTCAGTAGAGCCAACATATGCAGCCCCATGACGCCTTCTGGCTTTGAAGATTTGGTGTTACTGCACACAACCAAATGACATATTAGTAAGTCCATGAGGTGTTTTGGTCTCCGAAATATGCGTTTGAAAGGACGAATACTTTATCTACCCTAAGCTTTTGGTCTAACACTGAAAGTCCTCATCTTTCAAATAGTAGGAAATACTCCTTGAAATTGTTATGCCTGGGGAAAAGGGCTGACGTGGAAAAGTCACGTAAAAAGTAATCTGCTCCCGTCAGGGCAACACGCACACTCAGACCTACTATGTGATATGGGGCTTACACGTGTCCCTTTCCCCGGTAATAATCATGCGAAATCAGCTTGGGAAAAGAGCAATGAGACATAAAGCCGGATTATATCCTGACAACACACCAACCATGATTAATGATAATTACATGCTTCAGCTAGTATAAATGAGGAAGACCCCTTCATTACAGGGATTCGACCATTTTATAAAGACTCTCTCTCCTTAAACATATGACTTTTCATAATTTCTCTGTAATCAGTCCTTTTGCGACCTGACCCATGCTAATATCAATACAAATCAGTGGACGTAGGACTTGCTACCTTAGCATCCGAACCACTTTAAAAGCTTTCTTTATTCAGTTCACTTGATATTTCTCATCTGTTGTGTTAAATCACCATCATAATACGCACGTGATAATTAGTTGGTACCAAAAATCAGCATCAACAAAATTAAAAACTGTTAATCAATTTTAATTCTGAAATACTTTTGGGCTAAAATCAAGGGAAAAGCAAAGCCAGGAATTATTAGAGGTTGAAAAGCGTTTGGGGTATTTGGTAATATGACATACGATGATTCACTTGAAAAAAATACATTTTATACGGAATAGGGATGATTGATTTGACAGAATAGAAAGTATAACAGAGTGTCGTGGATGTCACATGGAGAATATAGTAGAATGATTAAGAAAAGGGCCCAGGCCCACCCCAGTGGGTCGTAGAGGAAAGTGCGTGGAAATTTCATGGTTTGTCATTGCAATGTCTTAAGGTAATGGTGTGACAGATGAAGAAGGTTGAGGCTGAGGTTGGTGATAATTAGTACTCCCTTGTTCAAATCATGGACCCCCCAAGCCCAGCCTCATTCCATTTTTTATTTTTATTTAATCATTCATCTATCATCTACCACTGTACGTACCTACCGCCCCTGCCCCTACATAAAATCTTTTTACTGTTGCCTATTGTAAACTACCATTCTCTCCTTTAACATTATTATTAACTAATTCACGATGCTATCATTCAGTATCATACTATATACACAAATTTTATCATGTTCAATAAGGTCTTATATGTATCAAGAAAAAATTTAATTACTTCTAATAAGGGTTACACAATTCCTCCTCAAGCTTTGAAATCATAAGAATTTTTTTTTCTAAAGATAATAAATGTGCTTTGAAGTGAAATTTAAAAAACAAATGAAAAATCAAATCACTATAAATTCAAACATAATCTTGTATACGTACTTATTTCAAAATGGGGTTTAATAAGATAATTGATGAGGCGCATATAGTACTACTATAAATCAAACTTCATATCCTTGTTTCGGACTTTGGCAAAATTAAACCCAAATGTGCTTACTAGGATCCTCCATACAAAACCCAAATATTGCTTTTGGGTCCTACATAAATGAAGGGAAATGATTTTTAGCTGGCATATTTTTGTTTTTAACCTCATCTTCAAGTTAAATGCGGATATAATTATAATAAAAAAAATATTCTTCTCTTCTTCCTAATTTACTTTAACTTTTTGTAGTTATAAAATTAAAAGTAATTTTAATAAAACAAATTAACATAAAACCTGAGACAAAATAAAGTAAATTAATAAAC